CCTCCATTCTCCTCTCGGGATCTTGGGCACGCACGCACACCCACCCAGCATGAGTTTAAGCCACCGGGTCTGGGACTCAAACTGTATTCAACTATGTGGGGATGCAGAGACATAGCCATTATGCCAACTGCTGGTCTCTATGCAATAGCTTCCATGAGACTTTATGATCTAAGTTCCAGTAGATATTTGTTAAGCCTCATCATTAACAAGATGGATTTTACTATTACATCTGACATAAAAGTAGCTTTACTGTCTGAACAAAATTAAAGTTCTCTTTTTTAATTACTGAAATAATATATATACATAAAAGTTAAAAGCATATGTCTGCACTCTATAACTGAAACTGACGGGCTAAAGGATGTACAAATACAAGAGGTGGATGTGAATGCCAGATGTGGTGTGTGTGGAGGAGTGAGGGCTGGGGAAGAACATTTGGAGGAGGGATATGAAGACAGTATTGTTGAGACAGGGAGGTAGTGTTGTTATATTTTTATCAGCTCGACTGGGGAGAAATGTTCATATATTGAAATGATCACCTTGTAAGCTAAATAATGTGATTGAATGTATTAAAATAATGTAAATAAAAATAAATTAATTAATTAAAAAAACGTATGAACATATAAGAAAAAAAGACATTTTGCTAGTAAACTTTTTCCTGAGGTATTTTGGGTTTTTCTTTAACAAGGTTTATAGAGTGTCACCTACTTCACTCCATCAGAAGCAGGCCAGTAAGCTTATCAGGCATTGTTTTATGATATAATTAACCATCATTAAGTAAATGGAAGTGGAGATAGAGTAAAAGCTACAGTATTCTTTAGACAAGTGTAAACTTTAGATTTTACATCCACCTAAATGGCATTTAAATAAAAAAGAGATATCTTTAAGAATGCAACAAAAATCTTTGGATACTGTTTCAATAACTCTTTTGAAGACATTATCCCAGAGAACAAAAATCGGTCAATCATAAAAATTGAAACTAGGACAAAAGACTGGAAACTAAATTTGACTATATTATAGGTAGTATAATATTAAACTTACTAAACTATAAATTTAAGGCCAAAGCTAGTGTACGGATTTATAGCAGAGAGCCGTATGAAATGCTATAGGCTGTGACAATGCAGAAACTGCAGAACTGCACTCCAGTTCTATCTAGTGACACATTAGATAGCTTTACTGAACCTCTCACTAAAAACAAACATATGGGGAATAAAATCTTTTGAAATAGTTTGATGATCTGGAAAAAAACAACTAACCAATCAACCCAAAACCAAAATTGTATAGAATATTGACATTCTGTTAGTCAAATGAAATTGGGAACTCTATAAAAACCTTTTTTTAAAAAAATATTTTGCTATAGGACATGCGTGCGTGCCAGCGGGAAAGAGAGACAGAGCAAGAAATCATCCCCCAGAGAGTATGGCCACACCACAATATCTTCTCCTCTGTTCTCCTTTTGGGATATTGGGCATGCATGCACCCACACCGGTGTGAATTTCAAGTTGCTGGGTCCAGGGCTCAAACCATAGTCGGCCATTGTCAGAGGGAGTCCAGCGCCTTAACCCTTCCATCACCTGCTGGCCCCAATGATAAGTTTTACTGTTAAGTTTTGTATTCAGTTTTCAAAACCACAGGGATTGGTGGTGGGGCCTGAGATGGATAGAAGACAAAGCTCAGGACTCATCCTGTGATCTATTCATTTTATGATATGTTACACAATTAACTGAGGTCCCCAAGGATATAGTATTAAGTGGCAAAGTAGCATTTTTTTTTAACTGTCATCCAAAAGATGTGAAAGAGAAAAGAGGAGAATCATCATTATAAGTAGGATCATGTATATTTTTTGAGTTTGAATTTCAGTTCAAGCTGT